ACCTTTCGAGGCTGACACATCCTTGTTGTGACTGTGCATATCAGAAGTGACATGTAATTGCAGTGATCCATCCTGTTAAGTAGCTGGCAATATATCATTGCAAAATCAGCAGGGCTGGGACTCGAAGAACCCGGTGTTTCTAAACAATGCACCTGCAGCGTGTTCAAACTCTTACCAGACGCCGCCACCGAAGGCTCATGAGGGCTGCCTCACCCTCCATCATCTCGCCTTTCTGCGACCACAGCAAAGAACATTTTACTCTGAGTCAGACCACCCCCTGAGTTTTCAGTTCTCTGGACTGCGCTCCCCTCCTCGCCGGATGCACTGGGCTCTCGAAGTTGGGGCTGTGGGTCAGGATGCGTTAATAGTGCTCCTTCCAAGCACAGCCCTTGGGCCTCCTGTCCCCCTTTTCCCGGTTAACTGCAGAGTGGCTTTGTGGGGATTCTTTCTGATGCCATGGGGTGGGCAGTGAGCTGGGCCAGTCCAGCCATCACTGTGCCAGCAGAGGGAAGGAAGCGGGTGGCTCATTGTGGACAACTCGAGGGTTGGAGATGGGGTGAGGACCAGGGTGGCCAGAGCCCAGAGGCACAGACGGCCAAGCCCCACCTCGATGGGTGGGAGCCCTGAGGCAGGGTCTGCACATTTAGGGGGCACCACTCGCACAGTGTTCTGTGCTAATTCTGGGGAGGCTTTGGCTTAAACTGTGGTATGAAGGGTGCCCCCTGGAGTTTTCAGAGGGCAGTACTGATGGAGAGGCAGACATGGGGCCCCCACATGGCCATTGGCCAGTGAGTGCCAGAAAGAAGGGTGACGTCAGAACGTGAAGCCCTCAAGGGTGGGCACCGGGAGCCCAGTGGGTTTGGTGGGCACCGGGGGTGCTGGTGTGGAGCCTTCTCTGGATCCTGCTTTTGGGCAAGGCTTGGTGAAGGACCCTCACTACCGCCCTCCCTGGGAGGCCCTGACCTCAGGGGTGCCCACTGTGGGCCCGTCTCTGCAGGGGGAGTTTCTCTGCCCCTGCCATCCCTCACCCGAGACTAGGCCATTCCGAGTGGCAGCCCTGGCCCGCGGCTCCCCAGTGTCTGCTTCTCTGATGCGGCCCGATTTCCCGGCTTTCTCCACCCTTCTGCAGGTGGAGGAAACATTTCTCTCCTCCCTGCAGAAGACGCCCTGTGGGTCTCCAGCCAAAGCCTCACTTTCCTTTGGTGCGTTAAAATATGCTAAATGAAAAATAATGAGCATGTAGGAACTAATAACAGGAATCACCTAATTAAATTAGGAAACAGACATCATATTGCTGTAATCTGAAAATTGATATTAATAGAAAATGGTCCCAGAATTGTTGTGCTAAGGGTTCCTAGGGGTGGGGAAATTAAAAAGGAGAGCAGAAGGGAAAATTGTGACAATTGTGTCCAATGAGAGCAAGACATGTTTTAAAGGAACTAAAGTAAAAAGCTAAAAATAGAAGACAGGATCACTGTGTGGATCTAATGAAGTAAGGGACAAACATGGCTTTGAAAACCACAGAGCTCCACACATGTGTGTGACAATAATTTTTTAAACGAGACAATGTAATTAAGCTTCAGCATGCGTGGAACAGAGAGATAGTTGTCGGTTCTTGCTGCCTGGCGCTGTCCACAGTGCCTTCATGTCATCTTCCGTCACCCTGAGTGGGGGCATCGCCGTCTTCCACTTAGACTCCGAGGTTCACTCGGTTACCGGAAGTCCTGCAGCCACCGTGGCCCGAGCCAGGATTCGAACCCAGATCCCAAAGCCCTTCTGTGGCTCACTCTGCCCTCCTTGCCTGTTGTGGCCAGTTAATGTCGTGGTCTGCGTTTCTTGTATTTTCTGATGTTTTCCTATCATTTCCTCAAAGGGCATTTCTTGCCAAGACCCAGCAGATTTCGGTGGCAGCCCGACTCCCTCACCCCAGCCCCAAGGCTCCTCTGGCATCGTGGTTAATCAAGCCCACACAAAGACACCTTCTGAAATTACAACCCAGCTAGAAAACTGGGTCTCCCATTGTGTCCGGGCCTTGGCGGGCCGAGTGGGGCTGGCAGTTCCGATGCTCACGCTGGCCCGAGGAAGCCCCGGTTTCGGGTTGCGTCTCCACAGCAGCTGATTGTTCCCCCAGGTCCCCCTGAAGCGGGGGGTGACTCGGGCTCAGTCACCTGTGACTTGAGTCACGGCTCGGCGGGTCCACAGCGGGGCTCAGGTGTGGGATGACCCCTTTCCCACTCTGCCCTGCCCAGAATCAACCGGAGGGACCGGGAAGAGGAGGAGGGGTCAAGATCTGTGTGAGATGCCCCCGAGTTACAACGCGTCTGGGATGCCAGGACTGCGTCTAGGCCAGCGGTGAGCCTGCTGAGGACGGGAGCTGGGGTGTGGGGGGACTCCACACATGGCTGAACATCCTCTCCTCCACCTGCGCCCACTCCTCCCCCACCTTTGCCCCATTCACTGAGCAGGCCTCTTCGGACGGGTCACCTGGGGTCAGAGCCAAGTCCCTCCCTCAGCCCAGGAGACCTGCCAGGGAGAGCGGGCAGGCAGGGCGAGCTCCAGTCCCAAGTGGCCAGGGCTCCGGGATCGGGGGGCCTTCTGCCTGGCTTGCCTCCCCCTCAGCCCAGTTTGCCTGCTGTCTCAGGGCAGTGGGAGGGGAGGGGGAGGCTCAAGACACAGTGAATCTGAACACCGCATACACTGCCAGCCTGGGGAGGGTCTGGTGGGGTCCTAACACGTGCCCTGCAACCTTCCTGAAGTCAGAAGTTGCTAAAGTGGGCAGCGGAGAAATGGTTCTGTGCCGGCCGTGACAGGGTCCAAGGGCAGGGCTGTTGCTATGGTTGTTGTCCTTCTGCACGGCCACTGAGTGGGTCTTGCTTTTCTAAACCCTGGAAAGGTTGTGGTGGTAGTTATGACAACGGACGCGCTGGGGGCTGGTTCTGGAGGCCAGGGCAGGTCACGGGGCAGTGGGCCCATCAGCGATGCCCTGGCTGTGGGCTGAGGTCCTGTGCCCTGTGGGGCTCTCAGCTGGGCTCCCACTGCCTTTCCCGGTGGGTGTGCTGGTCCCTTCTGTTTATGATGACATTTTTCATGTGGCTTTAGGGTCCGTGTGGGTCTTCTCCTTCCTGAAATATTTGCAGGAAGTGGGGCTTCCAGGCAGATCCATCTAAGCCGAAAGCTCACCGTTACATATCTGCTGATATTTTCATTATAACGCTTATTTCCTGGGATTTGTGGCTCTGGAGTTTTAACTTGAATCGTGGTGGAACTCAGTGGACAATTCTTTCATTTAAAAAATTTTTTTATATGGGAAAAACAGCCAAGCTAAAATGGGTTCTGGTGCCCCCAACAGCTGCTGCTCCGGAGTCCCTGCACAGTGGGCTGGCTCCTGACGGAGGGGCAAGGGGCACCTGGAGTCTTCCCGTTTTCGTGGCCTGGGGGCCCAGAAGGAAGTCAGGGGCTGCCTCTCACGGAGCCCTGAGGCCTGGCCGTGGCATTTTCCAGCCCTCCTTGGAAGGCCTGGAGACCACCCGTAGGGTGGGCTGGCCCCATCCAAGCTCCTCTTCCCCCAGCTTGGCTGTCCCCAAAGCAGGTCAGGGGGTCAGGCCCCGGCCAATTGTTCTCAGCCCACGTGGTTCCCAACGTGGGTTGGACTGAGGGGGTGATCTATGAACCCCTGGCCACATTTCGGTTGTGTGTCCGAATGTGCTTCGTCTTGGGAAGAAAAGGTAGCCTGGAGGAGTCTGGGATCCCACCCTGACAAGGCTACAAGCATTTGTGAGTGCTTTAGACCTTTGCCCTGAGGGTCTGCGCCTGCCCTGGAGGGAGGGAGACGGGGAGAGGAAGGGATGAGGGGGATGTCAGTGAAAACCATGCGGGGTCTCCGGGCCCATTGGTAAATGTATCAGCGCAGAGCTGCAGGGGAGGGGAGCCCACAGGGAACAGGGTGGGGTGGGGGAGTGGATGGATGGCTCCTTGGGCAAGGACCACGCTCAGCTCCAGCCAGGAGTTCTGTGTGGGATGTGGGCCCAGGGTGGCCAGTCTTCCTTTTTTTCTTTTTTCAAAGAAGCTAGGAATCTGTAATCTGTATTTAGTGAATTCTCCTGATTTGAAGTGGCAGCTCAAATTTTAGGTGTTTTCAGAGTGGGACAGTAGGTCACGCTTGGCACCTCCTATTGGTTGGATGGGCTGGAAGGAGAGCGTGTGTCCAATATTCCAAAACTCCCTTGGGCTGAGACTGCCCCCTCCCACCCTCCCTGTGCAGCCACCCCCCCCCCCCCCCCAGGACAGAGAGGTGGGGGGGTCTCCCAGCCCCTGCAGGACTCACATCAAGTGAGACCCCAAGTGAGTCACGGGGAGAGCTTCTCCAAGTGCACGTTGACCGGCAGTGGCCTCTCAGCCCCGAGGGACCCCTGTCTGGTTCAGGGGCCAGGAGCCCTGCCAGGTAACTGTTCACCCTTCAGGCATGGGACCTGGGGGCCCAGAGGGTGACTGGTCAGCGGAGGTGTGGGGGAGACCAGGCCAAGGAGTGGGGGTCTGAGGAGGGCACACAATGAAAACCTCCTTCATTTATACACCGTTGCTCATCTGCAAATATTTGCACCCACCAGCAAGCTTTTGTTGCTGTGAATAAAGGAAGAATCATTTCTGGACCAACCTTCCTGCAAGGGTGGGCCCTTCACCAAGGGGCCAGGGAGTGGGCTGTGGGTGGGCTTGCATTTAAGTGGAAAAGGATTTCCTGTTTCCCACAGTGATGGGGTGTGGCAGGGACAGCTACACCAGCCTTGTCTCTTCCCACCTAGGATACCATTTGTGGCAGTCACACCTGTCTAGGGTCTCCTGGGAGAGGGGCCAGGCCTGGCCCAGCAAGGAGCACTTTGCGGCCTCTTCCTTGCCTGTTGCCTGCATGTCAGGGGCGATGCCACTAGGGCTACGAGTGGGACCAGAGTGTCCCCATATCATTCAAAGAGGCGGCACCTGGGAGTGTGGTGTGAGCAGCGACCATGGCGTGAGTGCTGAGTGCCTACTGTGTTCCAGGCACTGCACTTAATGTGCCTTACAAATACTCTCTCACTGAAGCCTCACAGCCTCTGTCTCCATTTTACAGAAGGGGAAACTGAGGCACAGAGAGGCGAAGTCACTTGCCCAAGTTACACAGCAAGGAAGTGGCAGTGCCTGAACTAGAACTTGGGTCTTTGGGTCCCAAAGACACAGGGTCTTATTAGTGTCTCTGATAGCCGCTCGTAGCTGGGGTTGCTGCCCTCTGAGACACGGCGTTGATGGGCCAGTCTGCGGCCTGCCTGACACTGCCACGCTGATGTTGGGGTGTGCTTCATTCCTGTGCATTGCAGACATGTTCTGGTCCATGCATACGTGTGTGTGCTGGTGAAGGGACGGGGGCCTGTGAGTGTATGTGTGTCTGGCTCTCACCCTTGGTCGTGGATGTGTACAAGTGTGTGTGTGCACAACCATAAGGGTGTGTCCACCTGGGGCTCACAGCCCCTGTAGGAAACACTTCCCCTGAGGTCTGGGGCTGGCTGCTTCGAGTGCACGCTGACATGACACCTGCCGTGGCAGGTGTGGGGCAGCTGACTTTGGCACCAGAGGGGAGTTGTTTGTGGGTTGTCGGCCCCAGAAGTGGGTGAGGAATTGCCATTTCAGCAGGAACTTGGCAAAACCAGTGATTGTAACCCCTTGCCCGCGACCTGGGCAGACCAAATAATGAAATCACATTCATAATGTTTCGGGTCGAGTACTCGCTGCTCGAATTAGTTCCTTCCCAGAGCCCAGCCAGAAGGAGCGGCGCTAATTAAAGGATTTTTTGGGCTTAAACCAAGTCTGCTCATCAAGCGGGTACAATATACGGGGCTTGCAAAGCTGGGGCACTTTCCCACTTTCACTCATTTATTTTAGAAACAGTTACTGAGCCCCAACCTGGCCGGGCTCTGGGATTCTGCAGAGAACAGCATCACGAGGTCCCTGCTCTCATGGAGCTCGCAGTGAGTGGGTTAGGGGAATTCCTGGTGTCCGCCCCGACTCCTTCCTGAGCAGGCGGTTCAGCAGGGTCCCAGGAGCACTGTGATGTCTGGAGCTGCCTCTCCTTCCCCTTTGGGGCCCGTAAGTTAAGGTCTGAGGCTGAGACTGTGCTGGGACTTCCCACTGATCAGAGAAAGAGAAAGGAAGGGCATCAGCCTGGCTTGACCCACCTCTGACCCGTCCTGGGTCCTAGACAGAGGGGTGAGGGAGCCAGCCCAACAGCGGAGGTCACTTGGAGTTCACACCCAGGCCGGAACGTGCCTCCACAGAGCCTGTTTTTATTTTTTCCATTTGCTTCACTGAGGTGAACACACAGCCTTCCTCAGGGATCAGAAGATGCCAGAATCCCATGAAAGCAAATACCGGCATTGTGGTCAGCCTCGGCCGTGTGGCTGACAGAGCTGATGTGCCAGGCCGCCCTGGGTAAAACAGAACCTAAAACTTCTTTAAAGCTCAAGAAGGAAAGGAAAATCCCAGGAGCCAGAAAATGAGAGGGAATTGAGGGCAGCAGTGAGCTCTGGGGACGCCTATCCCAGGGCCTGGGGCCGTTTTTAAAAACAGCTTTATTCAGGTATAATTTACATGCCATGACATTCCCCTATTTAAGTGTACACCTCACTGGTTTTTAATAAATGGACAGAGCTGTGCAAGCATCACCACAATCCAATTTTAGGATATTTCCATTGCTCCCCGAAAATCTCTCATGCTCATTTGTAGTCACTCCCTGTTGCCCCAGGCAACCACTAATCTAACTTTCTGTCTTTTCTGAACATTTCACATAAATGTAATCGTACAATATGTAGTCTTTTATATCTGGCTTCTTTCGCTCAGCATAATGTTTTTGAGATTCATCACGTTGTAGCATGATTCAGTAGTTTGTTCCTCTGTGATGCTGAATAATATTCCATTACATGGAAGTTGGGTTTCTCCATTCACCAGTTGAAGGTCATTTGGGTTGTTTATACTTTTGTCTGTTATGAGTGATGCCACTATGAACGTTCCCATGCAGGTCTCTGTGTGAACAAGTGTTTTTATTTCTCTTGGGTAGATACTTAAGAGTAGAATTGCTAGGTTGTGTAGTAAATTTACGTTGAATTTTTAAGGAAACTGTTGTCAAAATGGCTGCACCACTTACATCCCCACCACTAATGTATGAGGGTTCCAATTTCTCCACATTCTCATCAACACTTGTTATTATCTGTCTTTTTAATTATAGCCATTCTAGTGGGTGTGAAATGGTATCTCATTGTGGTTTTAATTTGCATTCTCTAATGACTAATGCTATTGAGCATATTTTCATGTGCTTATTAGCCATTCAAATATCTTCTTTAGTGAAATATTTATTCAGACCTTTTGCCCATCTTTTAAATTGAGTTATCTTTTTATTGAGTTATTCTTTATTTTGTAGATATAAGTACTTATTAGGTTTGCAAATAATTTCTCCCACCTGTTGTTTGTCTTTTCATTTTCTTAATGGTTTCTTTTAAAGTGCAAAAGTTTTTAAATTTGAAGAAGTACAATTCATCAATTTTTCTCTTTTATGAGTCATGCTTTTGTTGTTGTTTCTAAGAAATCTTTGCCTAACCTAAGGTCATAAAGATTTTCTCCTATGTTTTCCTCTAAAATTTTTATAGTTTTAGCTCTTACATTTATGTCTGTGATCCATTTTGAGTTAATATTTGTGTTTTGTGTGAGATAATGGTCTAACTTCATCTTTTTGAATGTGGATATCCAATTGTTTCAGCACTACTTATTGAAGACTATCTTTTCCTCATTGAGTTGCCTTGGCACTTTGGTCAAAACTAAATTGGCCGGAAATGTAAGAGTTTATTTATGGTGTCTCAATTCTATTCCATTGATCTATATATTGATCCTTAAGCCAATAGTACAATGACTTGGTTTCTATAGTCATAATAAGTTATGAAATCAGAAAGTATAAGTCCTCCAGCTTTGTTCTTCTTTTTCAAGATTGTTTTGGCCATTCTGAGTCTTTGTAAAGACCATGTAAATTTCCATGTAAATTTTAGGATCAGTGAATTTCTGCCAATAAAAAACCTGCTGGGATTTTCATAGGCATCGCATTGAATCCAACAATCAGCTTGGGAAAAATTGCCCTCTTAACAATATTGAGTCTTCCAATCCATGAACATGGAATATTTCTCCATTTATTTGATCTTCTTTAGTTGCTATTAGAAATATTTTGTAGCTTTTGGTACACAAGTCTCACCCTTTTGTTAAATTTATTCTTAAGTATTTTGTTCTTTTTGATGCTGTAGTGAATGGGATTTTTTTCTTAATTTCATTTCTAGATTGTTCATGCTAATATATAGAAATACAATTGATTCTTCTATGTCGATCTTATACCCTGTAACTTACTGATTAATTCTAGTAGTTCTTTTTGTGAATTCCCTAGGATTTTGTAAATACAGGGTAATGTTGTCTGCAAGTAAAGAGAGTTTTGTTTTATTTCCAATCTCATGCCTTTCTTTTTCTTGCCTGATTGCGCTGGCTAGGACCTCTAGTACAATATGAAATAGAAGTGATGAGAGTGAACATCCTTGCCTTGTTCCCAATCTTGGAGGGAAAGCATTTAATCTTTCACCATTGAGTGTAATGGTAGCTGTAGGACTTTTGTATATGACTTTACTAGTTTGAGGAAGTTTTCTTCTATTGCTAGTCTGTTGAAAAAAAAATTTTTTTTTTACCGTGAATGGGTGTTGGATTTTGTCAAATGCTTGTCCTACATCTATTGGGATGTTTCTGTGGTTTTATCCTTTATTCTGTAAATATGGTATATTACATTAATACATCATCCTTGCATCCTTGCATTCTTGAGATAAATCCCACTTGGTCATGGTATATAATCCTGTTTATATGTTGTTGGATTCTGTTTGCTGAGATTGTGGTGTAGAATTTTTGAGGAATAGTTGTCTGTTGTTTCTTTTCTTGTGATGTTTTTGTCTGGCTTTGGTATCAGGTTAATATAATTGGTCTTAGAATGAGTTGGGAAGTGTTTCCTCTTCCTCCTTTATTTTTCTGGAAGAGTTTGTGAAGGATTGGAATTATTTCTTCTTTAAATGTTTGGTAGAATTCTCCAATGAAGCCATCTGAAACTGGACTTTTCTTTGTGGAAATATTTTTAAATTACTAATTCAATTCATTTACTATAGATCTAGTCAGATTTTCTATTTCTTCTTGAGTCAGCTTCAGTAAGTTATGTCTTTCAAGGGCTCTGTTCTTTTCACTCAAGTTGTCTAATTTGTTACATAAAGATGTTGATAGTATTCCCTTATATTCATTAGCAATGTCCCCTCTTTTGTTTCTGATTTTGATAATTCATGTATTGTTTTTTTTCTTTGTAAGTCTAGCTAAAAGTTTGTCAATTTGGTTGATCTTTTCAAAGAACCAACTTTTAGTTTTATTGCTTTTGTCTTTGTTTTTCTGTTTTCTATTTTATTGGTTTCTACTCTAATATTTATTATTTCCTTCTTTTTGCTTGCTTTGAGTTTAGTTTATTCTTTCTCCAGTTAGGTAGAAGCTAGGGTTGTTGATTTGAGTTTCTTCTTCTCTAATGTTGATATTACAGCTATAAATTTCCCTCTGAGCACTGCTTTATCTGGAGTCTGCTTCAGTTGTCTCATTTCCTACATCTCCCTTTAATTTCTTTCTGGTCTGCTGGTCCATTGCTTTCCCCAACCTGTATCAAACCTCAGGCTAGCTGAGGTTTTGGAATTATTATTTTCAACTACATTCCTGGGCATGGAATTTTTCAGTCTTCATGGCCCTCTCTACCTTGACAGAACTTCAACCCCCAGGGAACTGGGTGGGGTGATGGAAGCAGCCTCAGGCTGAAATGCCACAGGCCCACGCTGTTCTTCCTGAGGTTCTGTAGAACTTGAATAAATGCTTCTTAATATGTTGTACACCTTTGGTCAATTTCCAGAGTTGTTAAATGGTTGTTTTGGATTGTTTATCCCTGTTCTCTCATTTCTTTTGGGGAAGGAATTTGCCAAGCTCCTCACTCAGCCATTCCAGCTCCAGGAGCCATTCCTGCCTCCAGGACTGGGGTCTGATGTCTACACAGACAGGAGACAAGGTCTCCGGCCTGACCAAGGTGCTGAGTGGGGTGCAGCCTCTCTGTAAACAGCACCCTCAGAAGGCATCAGAACCTCTGCCCACTGGCCCGTTTTGCCTGGGACAGTCCCAGTTTGCACCTGTGGCCTCATGTAATTAATATCAGTATCCCCCTCACTCTCAGAAGTGGCTTTATTTTACTGATAAATCTTTGTGTAGATGTAATTCTGTAAGAAGAAATTTAACCAGAAAGAATGGGATGCAAGAAATAATGGTGAGGAAATAAGTTTTAGGTATATAGATAAATGTAAATAAGTATTTACTTTAAAAATAATAAGTAAACACTCATTTTGTGGGGTTTTAAGAACTGCAATGACGTGATAGTTTAGATGGTGGGCAGTAATTGGAGTGAAGAATTCTAAGATCTTTACCTTGTTTGGGAGGAAAATAGGAATAGTAATAAACTTTGGACTTTATTTTAAAATACAGTAACCCCTGGAAGTATAACGTGTATCTTCTGAGCCTCTGCAC